ACCCTTCTCATGTTCAGTATGAAGATGTGAAGGAACTACTAGTTTCTTTAAAACAATTAAAATGCCATTAAAATGTACTAAAGATAAGAAAATTAAACTCCCTTATGAGTCTGATTAAAAATTAAAATGGAAACAAAACAGATGACTACCAACATGAGTTGTTGGTTTGTTGGTTTTTCTTCTGTTTTGTCTTCATATCATCATCATAGAATTGTTTGAGTTGGAAGGGACTTTTAAAATTTATGGAGTCCTACTCCCCTACAACGAACAGGGACACTTACAGCTCAGTCAGGGTGCTCAGAGCTCCATCCAACCTGATCCTGAATGTCTCCAACACTTTATTAACATATCACTGCATAAAATAACAGATTTGGAATGGATTACCCTAGTGCAAACGTATCAGAGTTCTGACTTCTGCTTTAAAGATACCTTTGCTCCCTATTGGTCCATCTCTTGAACCTGAAATGAATACATTTCACACCAAAATCAGTGGAAAAACTCTCAGTTATTCTAAGATGCCTCAAGAATTCAGGTCTCTTAATAGAAGAAAGGTAGTATCTAGCCTATTATTCATAGTCGTGTCTATTTTCACCTTAAAGCCATAATTTTGATTAAAATCAAAACAAAATAAAAATCTAGTGGGCTATTTCAAAATACTGTGTAGTAAAAAATTGAATAAGTCTAGAAAGAAAGAAGGTAGAAAGCTAGTCATACTAATTAATTCTAAAGAAGAGCACCAGAATTAGCATGGTCAGCACTCCTCCAGTCATGCAAAAGGTTTCACTGGTCATTCATTTTAAACTTTTGCAAAACTCTTTCAGTAAAACTGTGCTGTAGGGGGAAATTCATGTTAATCCCACTGATGCTTCTTTTTATTCAAGCTTATTAGAGGACTGAGGAATATCTATTTTGTAGAAGAGAAACTAAAAAATACTTTCTTCAAAGTATGTCCTTACTTCTCCCACTCTTCCTCCACTAATTTCTAAAAAAGATTAATTTTCATTGTTGCAGAAGACCAGATTTGTATTTTGGCATGACCAAAGGGGTGGTTACATCTTGCAGATAACAACTCTGAGAGCTGCCAAACCTTGTAAGGACAGAAAATCCAATGACCAGAAGCATTATTTGATTGACTGACTTTGAATAACTCAGTGATCCATGGGTTGATAAAAACAAAAGATTCATTTGTAAGGTACAACTGTGGGTATATAGGGCTTTTCTGCATGCTTAATTTCAGGCCCAGCTAGCCCGTATATACTGAGAAATTGTACTCTGTTTTCCAGTTTCTAAATAGGGAGAGACTTGGGACATGATTCAACTCACAATGAAGTCAATGGGCATATGTCCACCAAATTCAACGGGCTTTGAACTGGGCTCTTTGTTCTGAACACTGTTAGTAAGCAAAGCTGTGAGAAAGTATTATTAGTGTTTGCTTTACTGAGCCTCTTCAGAAAAAAACTGCTTGTGAGATGTGGCTATGCACATGTAAGTGTATGGTTGTATATATAAGCTACACAGAAACAAGAAAAAAAGTATTTTCATAAGCAAACTGCTTTCCTTAAATGACTCCCTCCTGTCATAGCTATTTTTGATTTAAAATACTATATATAAATAGAGCAGAATAGATATTATTAGGACAAGGATTTCTCCTGGGACAACGTACAATCAAATAATTATGTATCATCTTTAGAGAGGAAGCATGGGAGTAGTCTTGGTCTCAACACGTGCAAATGCAATCTGACCTTTCTATGATGACTCTCTTATTTTCACTGCCATCTTTTAACATTTACTTGACATTACCCTCCCTGGCTTTTCATTTTCTTCCCACTTCCACATGGGTTGTGGTTCCTTGCCTGTCCTCCTTCTCTCCAATGCTGCATTCAATCATCAAAACTTCCCTTTGGAAAATCCTGCCTGTAACCTCAATGAACTGCTTCTGATTCCTCAGGGCAATTCTTAATGACTCAGAAGTTTGTTTTTTTTTTTTTTTTAAAAAAAAAAAAGGGAATTTGTTGTTAATTCTCAATGAATTTCTATTGAATTTGCCCATCCCTGCTTTCCAGTCTCCAACTCTGTTCTAGCTGTACATACAGTGAAAGATTTTTGTAAATGCAGACTTAGTGTGGTCAGATGTGGTCAGACTGTCTACTCTTTCTGTCACTGCCAAGGCCCCTTGATTTTCTTCCAGTCTAATTAATTTTTGCTCAACATAGCATACTATGCAGAGGGACACTTTGAGGATTTTGTGATAATTTTATCAGAAAATCATGCGACTGTGCATTAGACAAAGGAGGAAATAATGTGTGCAGAGAGCAGGTCCCCAGATCTGCTGCTGAGTGAGCAGTGCTAAACTGCTTGTATTTGACTCGCTGGGAACACAGTTGGCTAGTGGGCACTGACAGCGCTAGCAGCAAATAGGCAAATTTTGAATTGTAACCTAAATGGAGAAGATTTTGTTTCAGCATGAATTTTGGCTGTATGAAATTATACATTGCTGTCCATCAAGCTGTTTGCCATCCTGTCCTTACATTGTGACTTTCTAAGCTGTTTTTCTTTAGAGCCTGGGCACAGTCACGACGAATTACACAGGGCCTAGAGTTTTAAACCTCTGTCCTTAACACTTGCATTCCATAAAAGACTAAAAAGATTTGCAGAGCTACAGACTGCTCCTGTACTGCTTGTGGTCCATTCTATTCTTCTTCATAATCAGTTGTGTATATAAGGAGATGGGTGTGACTGCACTGCAGGCTGATTCTCAACATGAGTAATTAGCATTTAAGCTCTGCCACACCAGAGTAAACTCATCAAGGATACCACAACACTGCTGACTAGGCAGCAACTGCCCTGATCAAAACTTAGGAGTAAAAGCTCACTTCTATATAAGATTCAAGGATTTGGGGTTGATTGTCTGGTTAGGGTGGAGGAAGAGGTGGATTCTCAGCACAATTATGTCAGTCCTTCAAAAGCCTGCCATATCAGCTTATTAACACCCCAGAAGAAAAATACCTGAGAGAAAAACAGATCCAGCTAAATGCAATGGGAGTTTTTCCACTGAATTTATTGTGACCAATGTTGCAACTCGAGGACTGTAGATGTCTTTTCCTTCTGGGGAAAATGCAGGAGCTAAAGCACATATCTGCACTGGATCTTTTTCAGTACCAATTTCCTTTCAGCTTTCAAGAAAAAAGAGCAGTCTTCTCAACTTGGCACTGCTGCTGGTTGGATACCAGGCTAGACTATTCTTTGGATTTTTTTTATTTATTTTTTTTCTTTTTTACTGTCAAAAACTTCCTTTATTTTCATAGCTAGCTTTGCTTATCGCCCACAGGGCCATTTTCACTCACTGAGTGGAACCACAGTATGGAGACTTTCCAAAGTGACTTAGCCACTTTTGGAGAAAGACTTTGTTACATTGGGACTCACAGGAATATTCAAAACTCTAAATCTGAGGAAGGTGCCTAAATCCCTAAATCATGGGCACAAGTCCAACGTGTCATCTCTGATGGCTCTAGAAGAACACAAGTTCTTGCAGTGAACACAAGTTAGGCACTTACCTTCACTGACTGTAAATAAAACTCTGTGTGTTCAGAATGGACAATAAAATTTATTTCCATACAGACAACTGTGCAAGAAACAAAAATTGTTCTCCTAACAATGATATAAAGACTGTGATCAGTAACCCATAAACTGTTGAAAAAGGTCAGGCCTGAGAACAACCCAAAAGTCTGAATAGTTCAAATCCCTTTTATCTGCTAAATGAAGTTGGACAGTCTTGTGAGAACTGTTCGTTTGTTTTTTTTTTTCTATGGGGTTTTTTTAGTCCTTTCTGCTTCTAAATAAGCTGTAAATAGCCTGAGAAAAGGCTTTCTCATAGTATTTCTGTTATTCATATTCAACTCCCAGGAGACCAGGGCAGAATGAAAACAAAAAAGGAAAATAATTTTTAAAATTGCCTAAAATCTGAATGTTGAAAGAGAAGTGCATGAATGAACGGGTTGGAGAGAAACACAAATGATGAGGCCAGCTATCTTATCGTAGATGACTTCCTGAGCATAGGAAATTAGCATGATGGGAGACAAGACCATAAACATGCAAGAACAGCTCCATGCAGATCAAAGGCTTGTCTAGTCTGGTATCCAACCAGCAGCAGATGCCAAGTTAAAAGTACAAGAACAGCATAAGCACAAATTCATGCCTCCCTGGGGGTGCTCCCAGTGGCTCATGTTTTATGGCTTTCTCCAACTAGTGACAGTATTCTCGTGCTGAGAACTGAATGTCCAGGAGAAAGGCAGTTCCCTTCCATGGGAACTACAGGGAGATTGCAATTGCTGCACATCTTCTTTTTACCTCCAAATTCACTGCCCACTGCCCTACAGCAGCTTCCCTCACATGGCACGAGCAGCACCCACTGCTCTGAGCTGATCTTTGCATGTACAGCAGGCCACAGGGCAGTAGCATCTCATCAGCAAAGGGTAATGAGAAGGTTTGTCTTATTTTTTCCCACCTTATGCAATTTCAAAACTACTGAGGAGAATGAGGGAAGGGTGGGTGGAAAGATGGGAGCTAAAATTCCCTCCTAATGGCTACTGCTGTTAACTACTGGTTTCTCCCTGTATTCAGGTCGCGGCTTGTGTGAACAAAAGCAGAGGAAAGTTCTGTCTCCCAGGAGACTGAGACCAACATGGAGAGAAGCCACTCTTGCTATCCAGAGGCAGAACTACCTGTGAGGAAAGCATTTAGTCTGACATACACATGTGCATTCTTCCCACAAATGCACTGGCTCCCATGTGTCCATCAGCACCCCTCTGCCCTACAGCCACTGCTTGCTGCTCCTCAGGGGAGAAAGCATCATCACCCCAAGGATGGCAGCACATGGCAGAGGAGAAAATACTAGAGAGCATCACGTCTTCAACAAATCCCAACCCCACAAGAAGCAGTTACAGTCTGTTAATTCAGGATTAAGTTTCAAGAAGTGCAGAGGAAAGGAGGAGATCAGTAGATCTTGATCAAGTTTTTTATTACTAGAACACGTTTATTACCTTGTAATATAACTGCATATTATGAGAGATCCTGTTGCCACTAAAACAAAAAGCCCTATCATTAAAAAGGCGGCCACTTTTAATCTCTCTGGTGTTACAAGTGTTCTTTTACCCCACCATGTCAAGCGGTTTCCTTGTAGAGAATGGCATGGGAAAGAACTTCCACAGAACCACAGAATTGCAGGAGTCGGAAGGGACATGAAGAGATCAAGCCCAATTTCACCGCAGTATTAAACAGGATGGAAGGGAATATATAGCCATAAGTGGTAGTACTTCTGCCTTTGCATAGCTGACTCAAGAAGGTAAGGCCAGCAGCATTAAGAAACTGAATAAACCCCTTGGCATTTATACAATCCTTCTCAGCAACACAGCAGGGTGTAGGAATATTCTCCTTCCAGACAAATCATCGTTCCTTTAATGGCTAGGCAGCTGGCCAGCAGGGATTACTAACCTCATTAATATCTCATGTTTAGTTCTAGCTTATAAATAGAGCTGCAATTATGCATGTACATGGCCTATGCAACTAAGTGTTCTTATCATTGTTTCCTGCCCGTCCTTTTCTCCAGTCTTTCCATTTATTTTCTTTGTTTATTGAGTCTGAATTTAGACTTTAAGCTCTGCAGGTCAGAAATATTTGTTTGTACTGTTAGTGTGATGATCTTGTACTGACTGGAGCTGTTGCAATGCAAATATAATGCTGCTAATTTGTTAATTTGTATGACAAATCCTTTTGCATGTATCTTAACAGCAAATGAATAAACGCTCTGGTGAGCATTATCTGGACCAGAGCACTGGAGTCTCAGGTCAGAAGCAACTGCATAACCTCAACTTTTCCTCCTCTCTTAATAAAAGATAACACTAGTAACTTTTAATGATGTATATAATAAGTGCTAATTTTTATCATCAACTTTTTTTTCTCAGTTAAAGCTGCAATTACAAGTGCTTTGTAAAAGCACACTTATGGAATGTGGAAAAAATAATCCAATGCTGACAGTAGCTAGAGATAAACATAATTCTTCCTGTTTTCATACTGTCATTGCATTTTTCATCATTTTATGTTGTAGACAAAATATGATGATGAATGGGCTGCAGATAACTAGTTACACAAATATATTGTAGCTGTGAATCCATATCAGGAAAAGTTTGACACAGGACGGTAACATTCAGCTGCACTGAATTTCCATCATGAGATTTTTGCAGAAGTTTCTTGATTATATTCCACATTAATATTTCACAGTATCTGAAAAAGATTTTTTTTTTTCTCTTTACAATTGGCAGCCACGTCTGTCTGAAAGTGCTAAAGCAGCAACCAACAACTTCTAGCAGTCAGTAATCCAGCAAATCAGTTCTTTGCTTAAAGAGATTTTACTACAGCTTGAAATTGTGAAAATCAAGTTGAAGTTGTAAAAAGCCCTTCTCTTATTATGTCAGGAAATCTACTTAATTCCCATTCTGCCAGCTTGTCTTCTTCCTACACCTCCTTTTTTTTTTTAAAAAAAAAAAAAAAATTCAGGCAGGTTGCATGAGCAAAATCTTGGGTCCAGCTAACAGATGTCTTCACATAAACCTTCACTTAGGGAAGAAAACACATCAGCAGTGTCAGTACAAATAGCTTGGCCTACTTTTGAACTCCAGAAAAGGCTTTAAAGTGATTTGTATTCTTTCATAAAAGTCATCAGTTCATTTAAAACTTGACTCCACTACTTCAGCTCCTCTTTTTTGTGTTACTGAGCCAATGATAGAGACTGAAGTCTTGGCTTGCCTATGGGTGTACAAAGCAGCCAAGATGCTGGGTCTCACAAGAAGCATCCACTTGTGCTTGGCACCGTGTACACGTGGTCCTGCTCCTCCACATCCTCTTCATCCTCTTCCATCCCTGACTACACTCACATTGCAGGCATCAGGACTGGGACAAGTGATGAGAGAATGCACTTGAAATCCTGCTGGTTTGTACCTGGAGCCAGAAAAAGTACACCCCACTGTGCTCATAAATAGCGTCACTTCTTATTAGCTGCATCTGTGTTCTGCCAACACACAGCACCCACTTTTTTTTTTTTCCCCTCTTCTTTGTCTTTATAAATATTCCACCAGCTTAAAACAAATTATCAAAAACATCCATCATGCATAGATATGTACTTAGGCTTAGCATGGAGGTAGAAATGGTAGAGAAGGGGATTTCTAACACTAGAACAAAACAGACAGTTTGAAGTACAACTAACAATGAATTTTCTGGAAACAGCTCAACAATCTTTATGAAAAAGTCTCATGGAATTTAATTACATTAAAAATAATGAAAGGAGGAGGCCACATGAATTAAATAGGATTATAAAGCAAGTTTTAAAATATACAATTTGAAAAGAATTAAAGAATTGTGCAAAATATAAATGTTTTACAGAATTAATTCAATAATCAGCTCGCTACTAGCAAGTTCTCTGTGAAGTTTCAAGTATATTTGGAAAGACTGTTATTCTGTGTTGCAAAAGAACAGAAATATTCAGCACAGAAATTTTTGCTAACTTAAAAAATGTTGTGTACTACTTAGACTCTGAGTGAACTGCCACAGCACTTAGTTCGCTGATGATGATCTGAATCCCAGAAACTACTAGCTAGAGATCAAACCAGAACAGAGTGACAAGGATTGCTTCTTGTGCAGGACTCCTGAAACAAGAAAATGCCTGCTTTCTCAATGACTTTAGGGATGTTGGTTTCCCAAATTCAATACGGAAAACCCTGTTTTGCTCCTTTTTATAGTTGCCATCTAATCTGGCTTCACCACTACAATCTTCAGAAGTCACTGAGCTTGTACAACCACATACAAAATAAATTCATCCATAACCATGAAACTCTTGATATCCAGACCGCAAAGACTTTTTACTTTATTCTCCCTCAACAAGGTACTCACTGCTTCCAGTTCTCCACAACTCACCAGTTGCAAATGAAGCAGAAGTACACAGAGTAGATAAAGCTAAGTCAACATTGTTTTACAGTGCTCTAAGGACAGTGCCAGCAATTTCCATGATCTGCAATTACTAGCTTTTTAATAAAAGTGCAAATGAACAAATTCGCTTGTTGAAAGCCCTTCAATGTCATGATAAGAAAGCTAAAGCAGCGTTAGTAAAAGAAAAGAAAACAACTATCAAGCTATTTCAGCAGAGATTAATGCAGTCAGAACTGACCAGAGTTGACTAGCATTTTCCATTTAAAACTCTAAGGTTCCCGGCAACATTCTGCTTTTCACAATTTGACTTTAAAACAACCCTTCCACTGAGAAACTAAAGAACTTCTGTGGTTTGGAGGTTTGTCTCAACTCCATTCCCAAATAAATCTTCCAAAATTTGGACATGCTGCAAAGTTCTGAAAAATCAGTCAGCAAGAGAAAGTTGCTAGTATTTCATAGCTAGGTGATTCTTCTGAGATTTCATTTGTGCCCTTCACACTGCAATCCCTGCCTGCACAGTTTCAGCCATTCTCTCCTTGCAATTGCAATTTCTCTTGGTGGTGCTGAAAGCACTATGAAAGTTTCCCTGAAACAGAGGAAACAGAGAAAAAAGCATTCAGGATATAATATAAATATGATGAATATTTAGTAAAAAACAGAATCTTGAACCCTGAATTTATGCCAGAAGCACATGTTGAAAACCATGGCAAACACTTCAGTTAAGTTATTAAGAGGATATCTCCCTATGGTACATCTGCTGGTGTTATTTTACCTTTTTCACAACTTGAAATGACATCTAAAATTACTCTTAGTGTAATAGTAGAAATAAAGCCTTCTAAAGATAATAAATACAAGATGTGAATAGGTGTTAAACACATAATTGTTATGCTGAGATCCAGGCGATCTAAATCGCACTGAAGAATCTAATACTGACCATTTTTATTGCTGGATTACCAAAGGGCCCAAGCAGAGTTCACCAATCCCACACAGGAGAGCAGCAGCATGTATACCTGCATTCCCCCATAGCTTCATCAGTCCTTTTCTAGCTTTAGGGCCAGTTAAGACTGGATCCCTCAAGCAGGCACAATGACCTCGTAGCCAGGCTTCTTCACACTCAGACGTAACTGCTTGACCACCATGATGGCTATTTCCCCATCATTTTGTTCCTTACACATTTCAACTCAGCCATTGTTCATTTACGGTCCAGTCTCATCTTTTTTCACCCTTCTGTCCACTAAATACTCTTCTTTTAATCTTTTTAAATTGTTATCATCACAGTCTTGAGACTTCCCAAGATCATCATGCTAGGGAGGGAAAGACCTTCTTCTTATCAACAGCTTATACTTCTTCTCAATTTGACTGCTCAAATTCAGATGAGTCAATACATACAATCACGTATGGACCATTTATTATATTTATCACAGGAACATTCTGGCCTTAAGTCGACTCTGAAGGCAGAGTTGTGGAAGTGGAATGATAAGAACAACCAAAGCCTGCTGTTTTTGCAACAGCCTTATTGCCGAAGATACCAGCAGTGAAAAGAATGCTGTACACTGGAGATGTGGGTATACTGTAATTTATTTGCTATTTTTCTATTTGAGATTTGCTTGCCTTGTCTTCTTCTACCCAGTTCAGTTCTATGGGAGGAAGTACACCATTGGTTTGAACTTAAGGCTGAGCTACAAGTAAAGGGAGGCTTAAGCTAGAACTTGGTGGTCGTCTGTTCTGTTGACTCAAGTAACAGAACAAAGTAGCTTCTAGGTAGCAGCAAAGCAACAACTGATATTTAATACGGTTGTGAGTGCTTCTTCTCTTTCTACAGTCATGCTTGAATGATGAGGTCAAAGTCTTTCTGTCCATGGTGGTGTAATAAAGGCTTGTCTCCCAAATACACCTGCCACATGCATAAAAATACATGAAGGATTGCCTGACTGCTGGCACCAGTGGGCCGTGTGAGGTGATGACCATGGGCCATTGAGTACTGTGCATGAGATGAGTTCTCCCTGTGTAGTCTTTTAAAAGAGCTGAGGCTGAAGAAACAGGCATGCAAGCAGTCCAGGGTGCAGTCAGGCCCTTGGAGGTAGAAGTGAAAATAAGCAGTATTATAAAGGCAGAAGTACAGACTGGCTTCTCTCTTTCTGATACAAGAGGTTGATTGATCACATCAAAGTCCATGTTGATTTCATTAGGACTGGACTGTCTGGAACTCTCATCAAAGCATCTTAAAATTGCAGTATGTAATTTGCTAGAAAGTACTATAAGAAACCTGAAGCAATTAGAATCCCATCATTTCAGTCAGGCACACATCGTAAAGTCCCTACAAAGTGCTAATAATAATTCCTCCCACCTCAGCTGGGTGCTATGAAAATTAATCCATTACATTTGTGAAGTATCCAAACACTCTGAAACTGAACACAGCTCAGAATAACTGGTGAGAAAATTGACAAACCTCTGTTCTGAGGAGGGTTTGGACTGCACAAATTATGCAAGATCTAAGGTCACATATTGAATAAAAATAAGAGGAAATATATTTCTATGCACAGAATGAAGCAGAGATACTAGGAAAAGTTACATAATGATGATCTGAATTGTAATGTATACACTAGAATGCTAAAAGAATTGTTACAGACAACTTTACATCTTCCATTTTGAAGGCTTGCCTTTATGATGGCAGTTAACCTTTCCCTCTTCCTTCCATTCTCTCCTCCCTCATTCCTTCCTTTCCCTTTTTTCTTTCCTTCCTCCTTCACTCCCTTCCACCTTTGTTTCCTCCTTCCTCTCTCCTTTTCCCTCTATTTTTCTATTTTTAGAATATCATGTTTTGAATCACCACAAGAGTGACTCCTGCACATAAAACTAACAGCAAATACTTCCAAGCATCTCAAATTCACTGGATTTTTCCAGCCTTTCAGAACCTGATAGCATCCAGACCTTGTTTAGCGTTCAAAGACATTAAATTAAAAAAATCAGAATCCTCAGATGTTTTTGCTCCAATGCACTCAGCATGTGACTCCCATCTTTACTTTTGCTGAGATCCAGCACAACTTGGATCAAGGACTCAGAGAGCAACAAACCAAAGCAACAGTTTAAGCCTGATGGTTTATGCTAAAAAAATGCTAAAGCAACAGATGAGATTTGGGGCCACTGATTCATATAGACATGTTTACAAGCTTAAGTCATGTTTTAAAATTATAGTTGCAAACCATTGCACAGTGCTAATGGGCTGAGTGAGGAAAGAGTTAGGTATTATAATATTGAAGTATACGGTGGGATTGCCTGACAGCCACACAGACAGGAGACAAAGCACACCTCATCCACAGCCATCTCAGGGAACTGAGCAGCAAAAACACAGCTCTAAAGCCTGCCCTGCAGATATACATAGTGTGTGTGAACATGTCACGTGTTCTTGGACAAGCCACTTCACTTCTTTTTGCCAACAGTTCTTGCAAGTGCACGTCTGAGAAGTGCCTAACAGCACAGAGCCCAGGACTGGTGCTGTCACTGCAGGTCTTCAGGTGATTTGGTCACACAGTGATTCGGTATTAACATTTGGGCTGCTGAATCTTCCAGCAAACATTTGGTACAATTTGACAACCACAAGTTATGCTGCCTAGATACAACTCTCCCGTATGTTTTTAAGTGACAATGGAGGAAGCACCACACTGAAGGAGCTGGTGAGAGCTCAGCAATTCTGAAGTTCTGGTTGCTTTTATTTAAGTTACAGAGAAGACATGCTCTTCATCTCCTGTTTTCTTCACAATAACTTCTGTGAGCACTTCAATTGTACTGATGGTATCTCAGCAACAACTAAAAATCAGGTTTTAATGAACAGAATACTGCTACCACCTGGCCTCTAAAACTAAAAATTCTTCACCAACTTTCAATTCAGCTACATTTATTTTAGAAAAAAAAATATCACTACCACCAAAAACATCCTATTAGATGAACATCAGCCTTTATTTCAGGATGTCAATCCCACTCCCAAATGAGCTACTTAGTAGACGACTATTAGCACAAGTCAGAAAATACTTTTTCTACTGACATAGGAATTTGAGACTGCATGTACAATTCAGTCTGGAAAGGCCAACAAAAAGTTATCAAGGAGATACATTTCAAGTGCGTTTTTCTTTCATTCTTCTCTCTAAGTCAGGCTAACTAGTTGAATTGTAACTTTCAAGAAGCATTGCATTCTTAACTTTTCTCAGAAACAGCATAGCGTGTCACGGGAGAAACACATCTCAAGACTCCATTCACAGAAACAAGTGGAAATTTGTTTCTATTTTGTTTTTTATTCCAATATGAGACCAGATGATAACACCAAAGCCCAAATATTTTCTGTGTGAGCATTTATATTCAAAACCTTACGGGGAAAAGAAAGAGTGATGTGAAAAAAATACAAAAGTCAGATAAAAGAAAAATTAGACAAAAATAGATCTTTTACTAATGCTTTTTACTAATTTTTTTTCCCCCTCAGTTAAAAAACTCAGATGTTTTCTGTTCAAAGCTACAGAAACAAAAGCTATGACCTGGAGCCAGAAGGTTTCCAGTTCTGCTTGTGATGTTTCAACATGTGCTGTTACAGAGAATTTATCTGTCTTCGAGTAAAATATTCAGGAAAAAGAGAAAAGCTTGATTTTGCTGATGTTGATTTTGGGACGCACATTCAATTTCTTTCTTCAGAGTAGCCAAACTGATTAATTTACTGCTTTCCTCAGATTCTCAAATGTAAGGGCAGTAGATGAAAACATCTGATTTTTGAATCTAGAATGGCCTTTGGGACAGTCACTTCACAAAGCTGCTTAATGCTATTAAGACCTCAGATACTACGGGCTGCAGGAGCAGAATGTCATGCAGCAGGGAACACGTAATCAAGAATACAGACTGTGTGTTTCTTATCTGTTCAAAGATAAGTAATGGCTGAAGCGGAGTTTTCAGGATCACATTTCATATATGCCTTCTTTATTCCACAAAACAGCTTTTCTTCATATTATTGTTATTTTACTAATTTTTTCTGTCATTTAATCTCAGTCTCTCCTCTGTGAGACAAGGAGAATAGGTCTACTTTTGTTAGCCATGAAAGCAAAAGCTGTGCAGATACACAGGCCGTATGCACTTGCGGCCATTAGCATCATGTAGCTATCTAAGACAGATGCTTAACATTAAGCTAAAGCTAAGGGTGTGCATTTTTAGAGCAGTATAGATCACAATTCTCTCATTTTTTAGAAAAGTGGTATCCAGAAAGATATTTTGGTTCATGTCATTTTTATCTTTGCTTAAAATGGACTTTTGTATACAGTACAGCATATTGAGGACAGAGGTATTTGCATTCAAATACAAGCCACAGTCATGGCACCGTGGTTACTAAGAGAAGTCACTCAGTTCACAAAAGTTTTACAAAGACAGAGAGCCCAATCAAAAAGGAAAAATTTCTCCTACGTTGGGCATAGAAGAACCCAATAATAGTTCAGGGTTTCCTACAAAGAAGAAAGAAATATTAGAAACATCCTAACCGTGGGCAAAGTATCAGTAGGAACTTAACCTTCTTAGGCACTGATGAATGCAATCAAGATTTTCCTTCCATAGGAGTTCCCTGCACTCATAAACACAAATCCTGACAATTTTATATATATATTTTTATATATATTTTATATATATTTTATTATATATTTTATATATTTTATATATATATTTTTAAATCTCTTCCATTGATCCTGCTGTTTTCTTGATAATCCTATTTGATTTTACAATTCTGTAAGCCCATTCCTTTGTCCAGAAAAAAAGTTTTGTGCTTTGGGAAGGTCTGTTCCAATAAGGTGTGTTTAAGCAATTGTTCCAATTATACCACATTCTTATGGGAAACCTCAGCTTTTCCTGAAGGATTTGCTCTGCTTGATAGAGTGAGTTAAAATATAATTTCCTCTCTTTATACTATGGGGATTGATGAAGTTGCAACAAAAAGTAAAATAAAAGTTATATGCCTTTTATTCTGATACAAGCAGACTGAATAATTTCTCTGGAAAGATAAGTAGACTAGTGAGATGTCCTAGATCAGAAGCCTACATCAACACCTAAGGCAGTGAAAATTGAACTATTCAGAATAGAATGCTGACTACAATATTCTATGTTTACATGACTCTTTATTATTCCCAATTTAACTCCCAGAACTGACTAACTTTTTTAAAAAGTATTTGGCATCACACTTGGAAAAAAAAAAAAAGTATTAACAGCTTAGAACAAGCTACTCTAATTTCTCGAAATAATGACCAAACAAAATGAGATAAGACTTGATGTTTACAGGAGTTTCTAAAGAGGAAAAGAACAATAGACACACACACAAAAATCCCCAAATGACCCTCATCCCAAATACTTATTTTTACACGTCAGAAAAGAGATACATATCAGCAATGCCATCACAAAGGGCTCATAGCCATACAGAACCAGATACAATTTCTTGCAAGCTAACATTAAATGAGCGGGCTTCAAATTAGCAGATGTATCTCCAGATAAACCTTCATCTTAAATCTTAGTATGCCAGTTCAAGAGAGATGAGAAATTCTTACCTAAATATTTAAGATCCAGGTGACATATGCTTTTTGGTTATAACTGAATAAATGTTTGTGCCCATGGTCAGGAAATGAAAAATATTATAAAGAAATGCACATACAGATATTAGCCTGAAAGGAAAATGTCAAGGCAACGCTATTAATTGGAAACACGTAAATAATTTTTATGACTATTTGGAGATCAGTTGATGTGAAACTGAAAGCAACTTAATATTGTGTTGACAGTATTGCAACCAGTTAATACCATCTTTTTAATTTCATAGTTTTAATTCACATTGTTTTTATATTTTTATGCATTCTAGGGAAGGAAGTGGAGGAGGATCTTTCAAAAGCCAGGGTGGGCAGTGGAGGATATTTTAAAGTTTGTTCACTCGTGTGCCTGTGTACATGCAATGAAGTAAAGAAACAAAAAGAAGTACACAAGAAATACTGCAGTCTCATTTTGGAAGGTGCCACGAGAAAGCTGACCTAGCAAGTTTACCTTGCATGCCTAGAAACACACTGTCAAAAGCTTATGCAAATCACAATTTTCCAAGAACTTGAGGAGCTGGCAATATACCCACTCTTTTCACTGGTGCAGCCAGCAAGTACTACAACTGACCCCAGAAATTTCAGGAGTATGTTTTCTCTTTTGTTCACCAGTTGTTCAGCAATTGTGGATGGGACTTATAGGACTCTTCCTTATTAAAAGGAATTTTAAAATTCAATTTTAAAAATTTTAAAGACCATCAAAATTTTAGTCGTTCAGTATTATTTAAAGTAAGCTCTGCTAGGTTGTTCTTAATTTAAAAAAATACAAACAAACCTATGGGAGACACCTGGATAGTCTTTAGAAAAAGTTAAATCAAACTCAGCTGTACTGCCACAATGAAGATTAAAAAAAAAAAAACCATTATATACCATCTTATTACATATCTTAAGAAAGCCCTGACATACAGTGTTCTTGCATAGGAATAGTACTTTTTAATATTTGCCTCATAAGATTCAAGGAAGTGTGCACCTGCTTTCCTAAAACACTCCATACCCAACATTTCTGTATTAGGTAAACCAACTTAAACTTCTGTGCAGTGTTAAGATCTGTGAAGAAGTAGCCCAAGTTCCCATACCAATATGGAAGCAGTTGGTTCTTGGGTGTTACTCATGTCACTTATTAATCATCATAGAAAACTACATGTCCCCAAATAACTAATTTGGGGTGACTAAGCCAGTTACCTCCCGCTTATTCATAAAGCAAGGACAAGCTCTCTAAGGATGACATTCACAGACTCAGTCAAATAACTGATGACATTCAGTTGAGGATAGCTCCTTTGCAGGTGACAATCCTTATGGATACATTTATATAAACCTGTATATTTCCATTCTAGCAGTACCTGTAGAAGTTGCTTCTCCTGGGAATGCTCTACATTGGACTTGGGAGGAAACCCAATGAGCTTCTGCCTGTAGCATTACACCTCAGAGCATCACTCTCTTCTTACTTGAGAAATTCCCTCTGTTCATTTGAGAAGCGGTGTATCAGTTTTCCATCAAAGAGATATTTTGCTTTTTCTCCTTTCTACTTTTTTGCTTTCTGTTCCATGATCCTGCAGATTTCCACTTACATATGGGGCTGTGTTAAAAGTAAATTCCTTCTGTTTGTTTCGCTTAAGAGGACACAACACAGCAGAAAAAATATCATATCTTTGCTGTTGAGAACTAATAAAGAGCATCTTGGGAGATTTTTCACTTCTGCCTCTGATAGAGGTGAGCCATGCTGCAGACAGTAAATGAACGCTAACGCAAATTTTGTTTTGGAAGTAGTGAATTATCATGAATACTGATATGTTACAAGTCCTAACTGATATGTTACAAGTCTGTGGTGCTTCTTTTGTGAAACATTATATTAAACATCAAGGATGGTGAGATTCCTAGACTTGATGAGTGTACTGTACCTGATTAATCTATGAAATAGGTGGTGTAAGAATCAATTTATTTGCTAAATAAAATATCAATTTAAATGGACCTTTCAGTGCTCACTAGTTTGGGAACATGGCCTGACTAATACATAAGTAGTTTCTGCTTCTGCATTTTAATAAAACATTTGAGGCCAATATGATCACAACTTTCAATTAAGTGGACACCTAAACATTGTTACACAACTTAAAATGGAAAACAATCTCATAAAAAGTTATGAATAATCTTGACCATCAGCAAAAAAATGAATGTGCACTTTAAACTAGTAAGCAAGATGTTTACTAAATTTGGCATATAAAGCATATGCAAACTGAAATTGAAACTTAAATGAGAAAAATTAAGTTAACCAAAAAGTAACATTTCACTCTACCTGCCCTTCTCTTGTTTCTTTATTTGTTTTCAGTTCCTTCTTACAAGCTGTGGTAGAGTTGCAGAAGACAAAGATCCAGCAATTAATTCCCTCACTTGTTCATACCCAGGGCATCACTGTTAATCACAGAATCTCAGAATCACAAGGGTTGGAAGGAACCTTAAGAGAACATTGAGTCCAACCTCCCTGCCAAAGCAGGTACCCTACAATAGGTCACACAGGTAGACATCCAGATGAGTCTGGAATATCTCCATATAAAAAAAAAAAAAAAAAAAAAAAAAAAGACTCCACAACCTCTCTGGGCAGCCTGCTCCAGTGCTCTGCCACCCTTACCAAAAGGAAGTTCTTCCACATGTTTGTACAGAGTTTCTTATGTTCTAATTTTAGGCCATTACTGATAAGAACCTACCCTCCTATATTTGCCTCTCATCTCCTCAGATCCTGCACTGCTGCAGGTTATCAAGGAGGATTCTGGAGAAGGAGCATTGCTTTCTTTGCCTTCTTTCTATTAAATACTTGCAGATGAAGCAATGAAGACACTAAAGATATATTTAATTATGTAAAGATACATTTAATTACGGAAACTGCTGGAACATAAATAACACCACAAGTACTTCCAAGCCATTCTGACATCCTGTGTTGGACAGTTGCAAATAGCAAGTACAGAAAAGCATAAGAACTGGAATAAATATAGTTGGTCTTTCATAATTATTTCCTCAGAACCCAGCGATTTCTGTTTTCTAAACCAGCAATAATATATTTACACTTAACACACTGTGTAATCAATGAATATACACATGATATAATTAAGAAATACAGAAGAAAGTCAGGCAAAACAGGTTATTGCAGTAAAGAAGAATGGATGGAAAGCTTACCCTTGTCCTGGGCCCACTGAGAAGACTACAAGAGGAGCAATCTCCAAAAGAGAACCATCCATAGTGGTAGTCAGCTATTAAATGGAGCGTAGGAGAGGTGGAGCCAGTCTCCATCCCTTCCTCTAGCACAGGAGAATTGTTTTCACCTGTGCTCCCAGGGCTGCCTCATTACTTGCTGCAGGTGGTCAACCGGAGGTTCAGGATGTGATCCAGCAGTTACACTCACTATAGAATTTTCTCCCATTATGTTTAAAAATATTTAATAATTACAAAATTTTATCAACTCTGACATCCTTTGGAAAGGTCTATGTGTCATCCTTGCATTGCGTGTAGTAAAGTATCTCTTCTCTTTAACTTGATAGTGTGATTTCATGTCCCCATGTCTTTTTTTGAGTCAGAGTACCAGCAATTGTTTAGTATCCATCTTTATGCTACCTACAAGACTCTCCTGGAACACTGTTTAAAAATTTGTGCCGTATTAACTTACTGCCAGTCTTCTCTACCAAATAATTTTTACATGAGAAAATGCACACTGTAGTTAGCAGCTCAGTTCTTTCACTTCAGAATTCCTTTAGAATCCTCTGAGAGTGGTTTCGTCACATATCTTCTACCAAAATCTTGATTTTACTGAAGCACTGCTCACAAGGATCTGCCACAGGGAGCTCTCCAGACTCCTCCATTGAGATCACAGCTGTAAAAAACCTGTTGGTTTGTTGTTTGTTTTTTTTTTTTTTTTCCTGTGGGTTATCTTTTTTAAAACGTTGATGTATCTTGATCCTCTATTTGTTGTACTGTACTGAGGCTCTGGCAGGCTTGCTGCTTCTGAAATGTTTGAAAAAGGTTTTATTAGTAGTATTGTTACCATTTGGAAGTTCATCTCTGGTCCTACTCTGCTTGTTCATGTGCATTCCACAGAATTTTATGATCTTTCTGGTTTTCCTCATTTGGGCTTGGTTCTTTCTTTAGAAGCTTCTCTGTGTTTTCTATTAAACTCCCCAGATTCTTTTTGTTTATGTAGCTCCTATCACAATTCAAATACACCAATATCTAGGACGTTTCTAAAGTCAGTACAGATCCTTTAACCCATAAGGCTCAAGGACATCACATTCCACAGAAACACGTTGTTGAAGATCATCCGAAAAATCTGTCTGTACTTTTACAATTCCATGAACATATGTTGCATCTTATCATTTCATGGCCAATCACCTTCTTCTCCAACTTTGTGCATACTCCTTGAATTTGATTATTCCCTTATGCATCCTTTCTGCAGCGTCATGTCTGCATCTTTTTTCCCAACAGCATTAACATAATCAATGCACTCAGACCTTGGCAGAATGGCAAGCCTTTCACATCTAGAGTAGCTACAAAAAAAGCAGAACATACTATTCATTTTCAGAAACACTTTTTTTTTTTAATTTTTTTTTTCCAGAAACAACAGAAAAGCTCTTCATTTCCAATTCAGTCAGGTAAGTGATCTCTATGAGCAATACATTCAAAATGAAGTAGCGGCTGTGACTGCTGTAGTTAAAATCATAGCTACTATGTATTTTGAAATCCAGATTTTTTTTTTTCAAAATCCAGGTATTTGAAATTCAGATATCCCCTGGTAGGTTAGCATTATGGCTTGGCAAGTGGGAGTTGGTTAATGATCTTAAAAAGCTGCTGAGAAAACAAGACTGAAATGACTGCTACGTGCTATCTAGTGTCCTGAGTGTATAGACAGAATTGCAGAAGGTCAGGAAACAACAGTAAACTCATGCTCTCATGCATGAGTTGATGATACTTCGAATCTGAGCCCTGTAATTCATCATCATATTACAACTAAAATGCAAATCAGAGGCAGTGGGTGATGAATAGCATTTAAGGGACAGAACTGCACCAAAGACTTGTAGGATTTGAGCCAGGAGCTGTTTCAGTAACAGTAAAAACATCTACACATAAGTTCAGCACTGCATGAAAGCTGATGTTAGCATTTGATCTACCTCTCATTTGATCAACCTTTCATGTCATCTTCTGTTGCTGTGCATTGAAATACTTTTAGTGAGTAGATGCAGTTAGTTTAAGTATAATGTAATTTGAAGCTCATTTACTTTGAGGAAGTCCATGTGATCAAAGCTCTGGGATGGAGGGATGAAATTTGTTTCACAAGAAAATATATCAACATTAAAGGTTTGTTGCCATGTAGTATATGCAAATGCATTTAAAAGAAAACAAAGAGGACAAATGTAGAATGACTAGGAAGGGAACATTGTGCATGTTCTTCAGCATCATATCCTAACCTTATATAAAATAATTTTAAACAATAGTATATCCCCAATTTTTCATAATCATTGTCTAGGACATTCTGAACTTGTTCCTTTGGTTTTAGTTCTTGTCTTGTTTCAATTGCCTTGTGCCATGTCATTCTAACAAATGTGTAAGAAATATGCTAAATACTATCAAATTTAGAAAAATAGCTCATTATGTCCTCTCCAGTCATTTTGTTCCAATGTAAATCACTACATAAGGTGCAAGGCAATAAAGATTCTGCATTGTAGCCTGACCCTAATATTAAGTCCTAAGACCAGTGAGTCAGTTTCTGTCTGGTATTTTGACATTTGCCTCTCACTAATCATTCTGCACAATTCCATTAAAAAACAGTATATATTAAAGCAGGGAAATGGCATCTCTTAGGATTAATTTCTAAGTTTCTAACTGAAAATAGCATTCTGACTAGGGAAAAATTGAACTAGCGTTTCAGTTCTGCAGATTGGTGTGCTATTTAATTGCAGGCATATTTAGCTAGTTAGTTAGTTAGTGCTTGTCTTTGCGCAACATATAAGGTGTCCCACATTATAGCTGTCATAAAGGAGCTGTAGAAAAGGAGATGACTTGTGCCATCATTTCTGTCTCGATCATAACCAAGTCAGCTATGTGCTCACCTAAAAACAGCAGTGTGATTTATAGAACCTTAAGGTTTGGGCAGTATTTATATGGTTCCACAGCCAAATGCTTGATTGTGCTCCCAGTTGAAGCCCAGGGACCGTTGCCACTGATCTCAAGGAGAACAGGGATGGGCTGCAAATGCAGGGCTAAGGGGAACAGGACAAGAATTCTTTTCTTCTGAGAGCCCAATGACTCCAGTATGAGCCATAATTCTCATTATCCACTGCAGCTCCTCAACCCAAGGATACTCAACACCTCTAGAGAGTCACAGCAAACAGGAAAGAGGCTTGTCTGTCACCATGACTGAGGGACAGAGAACAGCACAATCTCAACCATCATTCAGTCCCACTCCTGCTCAGCCACAGGAACGGCCTTGAACCTGGTCAGACTAAAGAATATGTGGAAATAATGTCCTCAGCAAACCTGGCACTACTATGCCACAAGGTTCATACTAGTTCTTCCTACCCTACTGGTTTTTTTTGTTTATCAAGTCTTTTTTTAGAAATGAATTCTGCCCAAGTAGGCCTTTGTTATTCACAAAGCTTATGAAAAGCTTAACATGAGCCCGCAGTGTGCTCTTGCAGCTTGAAAAGCAAACGGTATCCTGGGCTACATCAGAAGAGGGGTGGCCAGCAGGGACAGGGAGGTGATTGTCCCCCTCTACTCTGCTCTTGTGAGGCCCCATCTGGAATACTGTGTCCAAGTGTGGAGCCTGCAGTACAAAAAAAGAAAGGGAGCTGTTGGAGATGGTCCAGAAGAGGGCCACAAAGATGATCAGGGGGCAGCTCCCCTGTGAAGACAGGCTGAGGGAGCTGGGCTTGTTCAGCTTGGAGAAAAGCAGGCTGCAGAGTGACCTCATGGCAGCCTTTCAGTACCTAAAGGGAGCCTACAAAGAGGAGGGGAATCAACTCTTTGAAAGGGTTGATAACTGCAGGACAAGGGGAAATGATTTGAAGTTGAGGGAGGGGTGATTTAGGTTGAATGTCAGGGGTAAACTCTTTACAGAGAGAGTGGTGAGGTGCTGGAACAGCTGCCCAGAGAGGTTGTGGATGCCCCGTCCCTGGAGGTGTTCAAGGCCGGGTTGGATGGGGCCCTGGGCAGCCTGGTCTAATATTAAATGTGGAGGTTGGTGGCCCTGCATGTGGCAGGGGGGTTGGAGATGCAGGATCCTTGAGGCCCCTTCCAACCCTCGTCATTCTGTGATTCTGTGATTCTGGATCCTGAATGGACAAAGGCATGTAAACTGCAGAGAAGAACAGAGTACACATCTGCTCCTAATATTTCATTTTACAGACATATCCCTGCTTACCTGAACGCTTCTATTTCCTCGCCCACTAACACTGGCAGCCTGTGTCACAACTGCCTTGCTTCCCCCTGCTTTTCAGATGTTTACTATTTAACTTGGGCAACTAAAGTGGGTGGTATTGATTTTGTCTGTGAAACATTCCTGCAGGGGTTTGATTTGCCAACACGTATTTCTTTCTTTCTCCTATGTGGGAAAATTCCTCATACAACCATCAGTAATTCATCTCTGATTAGAGTGTCATTCAAATCATACTATGCTGGATAATTAGGCTGCTCTTACCACTTATATTGATTTTTTCTGTTGGAGATAAAAATTTTAGATTGTTTAGAAGTTTGATTATGCTAAAGATGAAATTTCCCCTTTCATATCTCCTGGGTAGACTTGAGTTAAGCAATAGAAACCAAGTCTTATCTTGATAAAGATATTGACATCTCATATCTCTTCTTTCTAAAATTCTTGCTTTTAATACAACAACTAGGCTGGTGGTTATATGAAGTTTTTACACAGAGTATCCTAAATTCCTGAAGCATGCTGAGCTTCTGTCTTCCTTCTGAAGTATTTAAAAGGAAACATGCAAAAAAAAAAAAAATAAAATAAACCCACACAGTGTAAAAAATATTCTATCCTAAAGATACAAATACTCATAATAAGTACAACCTGCATACCCATAATAAATACAACCTGTATCTCTAACTTAATGTAACTAAATATTCTCTACAATCAGTTTTGATGGAAATTTTGATGGAAAGGCTTGGACTACTTACCACAGAATAGCACAGGAACTTGCAAAAGACTCATTGAAAAACTTTGCCTGCTTTGTTGATGCACCCAAATACTTTTCACTGCTTGGTTAAATTCTACCCTGCAATGCAATTTACTTGCTGTCACTGTTAAAATGGGTGTCCTGAACAGTTACCTGGATATCAGTCACTACATTTATGCTCACTTCAAAGTGTAGATAGAGTCAATGACTAATTCAGTCATTCTGCCAAATTTCCTTTAGCTCCCTCTCTGGTAACATATTTTATCTCAGATTTGTATTTTAGCAAGTTACTGAACCACGTACTCTAAAATCCTTAAGTCTTCATTTCTTTGCTCTGCACCTGTTCATCTTTCTTTACTGTGGATTGCTAATATTATACACAACACTCTGGATGAGATCTGACCAGTCCCTTGTGTGTCACCCAGCCTCATTACACTTCTAATTCTACAGTAAGCATCTCTCCTGTATGTCCTAAGATCACACTTATTTATCACAGCCATTTCACATCAATACTCATATCTGTCAAACACTGACTTGTACACACTGGAGTTCCTGCTATTATCCTTTGTCTTATGGTTGAAAAACTTATTCATTGTTCTCTAGCCTGACCTTCCATTTTGCTTTCTTAAATTTTCAGCTTTTTTGTCATAATTCATTTCCA